CCTGAATCTATCTGCAAGCCTGATTATTATACTAAAAAATTACAGAGAACATCCACGGATTTCATACACATCTCAAGAGTTCTCTACCTTCCAAAAGTTCAGTGGACTCGGTTCTCATCCTTAAACCAATAGAAAAAATTCTTCCCTCAAAATAGCCAAATCTCACAAAGAAACCCACCTTGTCAGCTAATAAAATCTTACTTAAATCTCAAGATGCAACTTTGGTTTTTGATTTCGGTTTCTTGGCATCCAATGCTCCTAAGCCTTTGCCCAATCCAACTGGAGGCTGACCTTCCTGGTCAGTTGTTGATTGATCTTTTTTGGCATCCGCGGGACCATTTACAGGATGACCGTTGGCTTCCTTTACTCCATCCGTTTCTCCATTTTCTACTGCATCTGGGGTAGCACCTGAATTGATGATATTGAGAAGCTGAGTAAGTGGAGGCAAAGCTTGGACTGGAACACCATGTGGACGTATTAAGAGGCCCCTTGCTGCTGCCTTCTTCCTAACTTCAGCTGCTGCACGAGCAGCCCTCTCATCAACTCCCCTACCGCGTGGAAGAGTTTCACCAATTATTGCGGCATTAAGAGATTTGTTGACGGAAGGGTTAGAACTCCCAGACCCACCGGCTATGGCAGCAGATTGGAATGCCTGCATCAAGTCAGGATGGGCCTGACATGCAAAGTTAACTATTAACTGGAAATCAAGATTCTTGGTGTAAATTATACACGAGATACGCGAGAGGGTCTCAACATCTGGAGACCGAAGGATTAGTATCCTAGCAACATTTACAAAATGCTCTCCAAATAAGTTACAGTTATCTCCTTTTCTTTTCCGATAAAAGATTCCAAAACCACACCAGAATATCTAGTGTGCAGAAAGCACACGAAAACTAGGCTTCTGAGCCTTTCATGGAAAATTAGAAATGAAGAGGATGCAGAATAGGAACAGGCGACAATAAGAATATGACTTTGGAAGATATTAAAAAAACTAACCACAAATTATCCTTCAATTCAACAAGATTTTGAACTTATTAGCAAAAAGTAGCATCCAAAGTACCTTCAAGATGTCGATTGCCTTTTGAGCTGAAGCAGCATTCAAAGCTTGACCTTTTTGCTTTTGTGCATTCATCTTTCAAAGAAGATAAAAAAGTTTAAGAATCAGAACCAAATAGTAATTAAGTATATGCAACCAACCTCCAGTATGATTTCACCATGCAAGGTACAAATACCTGTAGCTCACGCATCTTAAATGTCTTCATCCAGTTTTGAGAGTCACGTGTTCTTGAATCCTCCTCGCCCAATTGTTTCACAAGTATATCGTACGTTTTCTTCTCATGCTGCAACACCAAGTGTCATATGGAACAGTGAAATCGTTTTCTATTAAGTGAAAATTACATTAGAAGGCAAAATGTCATTATTATTCTTCCACTCATTCAATGACATCTAAATTAAACACTACTTTTAATATTGTTCTTTCGTTTTTCACTCAGTTTATTGCTTCTATGTATTAGAATGCGATATGAAGGTAAAACATATTTTTGACAACAGCAAAAAAGTAATGAAAGAAAAAACTCGTCCTCTACAGAGCCACAATAATATTCAATTTTCTTTCTATATTTTCCATGACTGTATACATAAATACACTCATGCGATAACACATGCACATACATGTGTGTGTGTGTGTGTGTAAAAGAAGCCCAAACATGGAAGCAGAGATGCGGAGATCAAGATATCACTGTCTAAATTCCTAGGGGGGGCTATCAATTTGTGGAATTTGGATGGCCTTTAGTTTTGTATTTTCTATTTACAAAAGGGACATACCTGGTGAGAGAGTTTGAAGGCACCCATACAATTAAATGCAATAGCAAGTGCATGATAGCATACAGCAGTCTGGATATGTTCTTCCCCTAGAAGTCTCTCATTCTTTTTCAAAGCCTCTTGCAAATATCGAAGGGCAGTGTCCATCTTCCCAAGATCCTGGTACATCATAGCGACATTAATGAAGGTTGCAGCGACATCAGGGTGATCTGGGCCAGATGACAAACTTAGCAGGAGCAATGCCCTGGACATGTGTCGTAGTGCAAGCTCTGTCTGATTAAGTCCGTGATAGAAAAGAGCCATATTTCCATAGCTGCCATAGCAAAGTTGCAAATGAAGGAGCCCAAAATCAAATCCAGAAAAACAGAGAGAGAGAGAGAGAGAGAGAGAGAGAATAAA